GAATCACGAGCGTGAAGTTGCTAGGTAGAAATTTAAGAACCCGCGCGTTTCGGCCTATGTGCCTATTCGGCAGTAGTTGAATCTTTCAACTTCTTAATCAGAAAGTTTTCTGAATCTCAGCTGTATCTTAGAACGCGGTTAAGATAGTTACAATTATAGAGCCTCGTAGATAGTGACTTCGTTAGTTATTCATCCTGTCATTCATTTTTAATTGTACTTTTCTATTTTTGTTTAACCGCCGGGTCGGCGTAGTTTGTGAGCGTCGAGTGAACGCAACTGTGACTTCTGAAATAAAAATGGGAATAAAAAATAAAAAGGGAGTGAAATAAAAAGGGAGTTAAACCCTTCTTAAGAGTCTGTGTAATTTCCAGTTCATAGCAGTCACTACTACTATTGCTGACAAGTTGGGGCCTCTCAACATCACAATACAAAAAAAATTTAGTTTAGAAGTGGCTGCTTTTCCATTAAGAATGATTCTAAACTTTGTGATGAACAAATTCATGGTTGCAATTAAATTTGTTTTTAATTTTAAATGTATATAAAACATAATCTTGAAGTTTTCAACAAAAATGGTTGTCGTTCACTACAAAAGCATTAATGGATAGTAACATTTATTTCCATTTTGACCATAATAAGACATTAAAATAATTATTTTACTCATGTTCACCTGTCCAGTAAATCCGGAGAATATCTCAGATCTAAGTAATCTCCAATGATAGAACCACTTTTACCTCTTGCCGGCGCTTCGGTTGCCTGAAATTTGAAAACATAAATAAATTAATTAATTAATAAAATAATTAAATACAAGTTTACTGTTATTAATACATTTTATTTCATGTGACTAAAGCATATTACTGAAAATTAGTTATTTAACATCAAATAATTATTTAGTTAGTTTTCACGAAATAATCTTTAGACGTAACTTTACATCATCTTCGAACTTCAATATTTATCCTACGCTGTACTTTTTATGTTATGCACACCATAAAGGGTGTACACCATATTATCTCACATATTCCTACACAGCCTCACATATAAGATAATTAAAACAGAAATTTTATTACTGTAATTATTTTCGAGCGCTTTAGAAGGATATTCACAAATATCGTAAATATTAAATAAATCCACTAATTTCAGAGGGTTTTCTTATTTTCAATTTTTATTATCAATACTGAACTGTTTTTGCATTTATATGACTTTAATACACCATCTGTCGTGATGTCTTTTCTAAACTGAAAAACTGATATTGCATTAGCGAAGAAAATAATATATATAGGCCCAATATAGTCTATGAAAGCATTTTTTTATTTCAAATAGAAGTCTTTATTTTATGCAAATAACATGATAACATTATTAGTAGTGAACCGATTTAAAAATGTTTATTAGTTGAAAGGAAAGTAACAGAAACGATAGAACAATGAAAAATGTAGTAGAGCTGAAATGATACTGATGAGACTTATTTTAGGATATTTGATGTTTACTATGCTGTAACTAGATACCGTTTTGAATTTTTTTTTAATGCAATGAATCAGGCAACAGTTCTCCAAATATAAATGTATATTATTACGAAAAAACGTATAATACGTTTACCTTTGCAAAACATACGTATATTTTCTGAGCCGTTTGGCCATCTCTCTAAGCCGGCCACTGCCACAGAAGACAAAATTATCTAGAACTACGGTTGATAGTCTTAATGTTTGCAGTGCTATTTTTGTTTTATATTTCACAATTGTAATTAGTTTTTAAACGCTTTTAGCTGATTAACATCAGATGGATTGGTAAACTGCATAACACCTATGCCATCAATATATATTTATATATTATTACGTAAACAGCGGAAATCTGTAAATATAAAAATGTAGTAGGTACTTTGGTGCTGGAAATATGTAGTATATGTCAATTCGCACTCCGATGTACATGCCAGAAATCGAAAAGGAATTTGAATTTTCCTCATACCTAAATATCATCTGTACTTTTCGAATTCCGAATTACATCACAAAACGGATAGAATTAAAATAAGCATTTAAATTAAAAAAAAAAAAATATATGTGGAAGTTAGTGACCTGGAATTCTTTAATATACTGTAAACACGAGAGAACATGCGGCACACTTACTCCCCTTTCACATCAACAAAGCAATACGTTTCTTACCAGCTGGAATTGTAAATGTATATCTTCTGCCTTTTGCTGGGCCCATTCATCATGCTGCAGCGGTCAAAAGAGAAACAAATCGCTAAGCCCCGACGCAGAATGAGGATGCCGAACAAGACTGGGTGCACCACTAACACTGTCACTGCCAAAAGCTTTTTTTTCAAAGAAGACTGTTAAAGAACGCAAGTCCAAAGTTGCCCTTTGAATTTTGTTAAATACTTAATATAGTAATTGTGGTATACAGTCGACTCAAGGGTCGACTCTGACCTGCAGTTCCGTCCACTTTTGTCACTCTTTCACTCTTTGTCAGCCCTTTCTGGTGTGGGGAGCTTTATAATAACGTGCGCCCAATCTCAAAACTTTATTATCCTATTAAACCACGAGGACGCACGTCGGGCCTACTAGGCCCGGCCATTAAAAAATATATAATACAGAAATTACTCCCTTCGGTGAAATGTTTCGACCCTCTCAGTAGCTGCGTTCAAGGTCATGTAAGTGCCATTCACAGGCATTCCGGAATTTATCTCGTCCCTTTTTTTTTTTTTTTTTTTTTTTTTTCCAGAAATTGGGTAGCCGGGCCTCCCAGGCCCGAGGTGCGCGTTCGCATTGTCATTTAGTGAGCATTGTCATTTTAAATCTTACAGAGTATCAGCGATAAGAAGGATCACGTTAAGATACACCATCACCCTCGATGTTTCCGAAGCCCAAGACACGGGCAACCAAGTTACTGAAATAAAAAACTTTTTACCAAAGCTTGGCGGACGCTATGCAAGGTTACCTCGGACACTTTCGGTACTCAATTCGGTGCCCGCGGGCACCGGATTGAGTACCCCGGGCTTAGAGAGAGTGTAGCCAAAAGGCGAACGCGCTAGTCAGAATCTCTGGATCTCTAACGAAGTCAGTATAACTTCTACTTTAAATACTGCTCTTCCTTCATTTGCATTTAACCGCGATTCTAAAAACACACTCTGGCGAGAAATTTGTAAACTAAAATTAGAAGGGATAGGAAAGTAACTTCAGTCAGAGTCGACCCTTGACTCGACTGTATACCACAATTACTATATTAAATAAAGATAACTGTTATCAACTTAGGATAAACCTTACAACTTCAAGGTGAAGAACCAATAAATATTTTAGCCGCTTTTATAGGTTTATTTTTATCAATGTATGTTGAAGTTAATTTGAGACGATACGTTACGCACTGTAAAATTTTAAATATTTTCACATAAAAATTTCTTTATTTTACCAGAAAATAGAGCAATTCTTGTAAACATTGCCACTTGTTAAAAATTGACTTTTATATTGTGTAAAATCATTGTAAACGTTATAGGCTAGCTACTAATAGTCGAATTGCCAAAGATTTATTATAAAAAATATTTTACGTGTTGAAAAGCAATCCGTGTAAAAATTTTTAGAAATAAATTTATTTGCATAAAAGAAAACTTAAAGGGCATTATAATTTGTAAAATGACCGTACCAGTTTGCCTGTATTTTCAACAGAACTTCGAAGTGCGTCATGAGAATCCAAGAGTCTTTTGTTTGCATCACTACAAAAATTTAGAACTGTTAGTTTAAACATTAACATCCAAAAATGGATTTTTAAGTAGGAAAAGTTATAAACAAACAAGAAATTAGATAAAAAAAAAGATTTATACATATGCATTTATTAAATATGCATCATCATTCATTTGAATGAAAATTTTTCAGTTAAAATACGCTGACTTTCAAAAGTTAAGCACGCAATACAAATTCGTAATTTTCGAAAGAGTAGTTCAATTTGAGTGGCTGAAAATAACTGCGAATGCAAATGGCACTATGCAAATATCGTATGTTACAACCAATCGTGACTGACTATGCGAACATATGCTAATCGTGGTAGTCGTTAGTATTCTGAAGGTTTGAGAAAATTAATTTAAAGGTTGATACAACGAATTTGTAACTTTCAAAGGGTAATTTTTGTTGCTATTTGTGTTTCTATGGCTGAAGGAAAATTAATGGCAGATAGCGAGCGCTAACGTTCTGTCGGACGCATGGAAGCAGGATAGTCAATAAAAGATTTCTCTCTTTTCTTTAGCGGGGATCATTTAGTAATTTCTCGATTGTGAAAATCATTCCAAACAAGTCAAAAAGTTTTCAGAAAACCTATATCTGATCGACCAATAGTTACCACCCCTTCTGAATTATCAGTATATATTTCCTCAGCAGCCGAGCAGAATGAACGAGCGGCTTCCCCAGCTGTTACATCCATGATTGCAGTATCACTTAGTGAGATAATATCTGCCAGTACTGTGGGTCAAAGGCTTCCTATGAAGAGGCTGTATCTGAGTAGCACGCTTTTGTGTTCCATTAACTATCCAGTCCAGATTAGCAAGATGAAAGCGTTGTTGTCAACATCTCAATTGGACTGTCTCAGCTTGGTTCAACGTCCTGTTCACGAATTCTGAATTCTCCATGGAATCGGATTCCCCAGATTTGCCCTGAAATCAGATGATAAGCTGTAAAGGTTCGAAGATAACGAGGTATACGGAATCAGGTCTAGATCATCGTTGAACATTCCACTATCAGAGATGGCAATGTAATAGTATAGGCTGGAATTTCAATGGTATATCTCATTCAGTTGCACATTTTTTGATTTTGAGAACGCTACGTGGCATTGGATTGAAGTTCTACACACCATTGTCAAATCTGCTCTAGTGAGAGTATTTCGCATACGGAGTGGTCGACGTATTCCCTCGACTGTAATCTCATTGAAAATTTTAGAATGCCCTTAGGCATACTGTCTTTGGAAAACTCCAGCCAGTCTCAGAAAGTTGGAAACTACCCTAATGGAGGAATGACCATTACTTGTATCTGCGATAGTTGTTCACCTTGTTAAAAACATGTGCAGTTGCTGTATAGCTTACGTGAAGGTTCAGATGATCACATAAATTATTATCGTTATCATATAATTTACAAAAATTAAACATCGTTTTCATCTTTATGTATAACGCTTGTTTTCTTTCGTGCATAAACACATTTTCTACCTTCATGTGCAATTTGGCATTAATCAAAACTTTATTTTTCCATTTTGTTGATTTAAATATTGCGTGCTTAACTTTTAGAAGCCAGTGTATGACTATAACTTTATTATTTGGAAGCGATATCCGTGGCTTCCCATTTTCCACTTACTGTAGAAGATTGAGCTGGCGACTAAGATGGTCTTGCTCTTGCAGAACTTCCAATATCCGTTCTCTTTCGCTGAAACAAATTTCAACATGAACGTTATTATATACAATATGCCACTCAATTTATGAAACCTGTAAATAAAATTCTATTATTTCTCATTTTCATCAAACTTATATTCATCTTTAATAATATTTTTTGTTCTACACCTAAGTAACTGTATGAAATTGTGAAATAATCATTCCAATAATTTTCCCCAACCTATTTTAGAACATACACACGTACAAAAGGGCGAAAAGTAAGATTTCCTGTACTAAATCTAATTGCCAGTTACATATCGCGTTCCATATCCTCATCCGTGAATATCTTTCATCTAGCCGTCCAGGCGGTATAGAAGTTAGGGAAGCCTACTGCGGTACCGAAGGGCCCGGCCCGTTTTGAATCCCGGAGAAGGCATGAATGTTTGTAAATGTATAGTATCTTTTCGGCATGGAGGCACATTAAATATATGTCAAGTCGAAAGTCCTCTCGAGAGATTTGTGGTAGGGGGAAAACAGTGGAAGGCCTTTGGCCTCGTCCCCCCAAGTGCTCTCCATCGAAACTGGGGCAGAAGTGAGTGAATTTTTACTGTCACCTGCATAATGCTCAAGGCTCTTGCCAACCACAGGTGCTTCTCCTTGCCTCAATGAATTTCATGGGCTTGTTCTGATGATACACTCAGAAAGTGAGATAAGTCCCAACACAACAACAACAATGCTACGTAATTTCCACCTAACCTATACGAAGCAGTAACAAAATTTTATTACAGCAATAATATTGTGTTTTGAGAATTCTAATGAAAATAATTTATAGCATTTGATAAATTGAAATTGAAAATAGTTTCTCTAAGTTAGAAATGTGATGCTAGTAACTGATTAAAAATAATCTTTCTTATTTAAGTTAGATACAAAGGATTTAACACATAAACTGAAATAGCAGCTTCACCATGTATTTCTAAATACTCTATGTATTTATCTTTCGTCACATGTAATAATAATAATAAATCTATAACCTTTGAAAAACTGTTAAACATAACTCAGAATTCATTTTTATACTGTCGTTTCGTGAAACGTTTTAAAAAATTCGTTTCTAAAGTAATTAAAATATGTGATTTTATGGAGTAACGGTTATCTTCAAAATGATCTATTCGGAGATTCTATGTTCGGTTCCATTCAGTTATTTTTTCTACTAACCCCTTCCGTTCTCTTCATATCTGAGATATGAACTAAAAGTGGCGAACGATTACTCGTCATCGAACTAGTGTAAATTAATCAGTTGTTCTCCTACATGGCTTCTGGAGTGCAATGCTTAGCATAGATAGCTAAACATTCGGAGATTCTATGTTAAACGCCAGGCAACATCACAGCTTATTTTCGATTATTCTCGCTTCCAAGCTTCTAATGCCTTTACACGTTTAACAAGCAATATTTCTATGTGGATCTCTGATTTTGGGAGATGTTAATTTTAAATCACCCTTATATATTTAAGTAATTTTATGGTAAGTAACTTCTTTTTAACTTCACAGCAAAAGTTAATGTTTCCAAAATGTTCACTATATATTAGAGATCCACTATCAGTAATTTTAGTCGCATAGTATTTCGTAAGTGTAGCTTTATCCCACCGTATATATTTTAAAGCATTACATATACCAACCATGGAAAGAAGAAAGTCCATAGATGATGCCAGCAATTTCTTTAATAGTTTGCTCACAATTTTAACATATACAACATATCATGAAATTTCTTATATTTTTTCTTTATCCTAAAAGCAGAGAGACGCTTAGGTTTAATGAGTGGGCTATTTCCACTTAGCGCAACAAAGTTTCAAGGATTCAGAATTTATTTATTATTTATTTTATTTTATTTTTATTTTTTTTTTTTTTTTTATTTTTTTATTATTTTTTTTTTTTTTTGATAAATACAGTTAAACATTTCTTGTCGACTATTTCTTTAAGATGACCATCTCGGAAAGTGAGTATTATTTTTTATCATAAATAATGAATTAACATCTGTATTGAATATCAACCCCTTAAGGCAACCATCTTCCAGTAAACCAAAATCATCCAGAAACTTCGGCGATAAGAAATAATTGAAACAAAACAGATATTTCAGTCATATCAAAAACCTTTACTGAAACATCAAATACTAATGAATGTAATACATTTAGGTTGCACTGAAAGTTACCCTGCAATGTTGGGCAAAAGTTCAGAATTTTTCCATACATCAAAACGAAATTACCATAAGTTAAACGTATTGCATATTGCACTATGATGAATTTACATTGAAAACTTTGCAGAAGAATTTAAAGCAATATTAAACTGCTGCAGTAAAATGTAGTAAAGTTATAACATAAGGTGATCCTTAATCATCGTATCTTTCGTGCTTTACCTGAGGGGATCGATACTGTCCATTCTGTACTCCTTTAACACATCGTAAGACGGTAGCTCTCTAAGAGCCACATGCTAAGCAGGATTTTTGAATTGCGAGAGGAAATTATAGCTTCTTACTAGTCCAAATAGAGATTTAGTTTAAGTTTTTCAAAAAACAAATAAGCAATATTTTAATTAGCCTACTTAAAAAATATGTTTAACCATGCGAATAAATTAAACCCATCAATGCAAGGATTTGTAAAGCACATAATGACTATTAGTGAAAATTTATTTTCATTTATTGAAAAAGTAAAACTTTGGTGATTTAGAATTGATAATGGGAGTATTTTAAACTCTCTTTTACTTGATTCAATCGTTTTAGAAAATGGAAAAATAATGCTTGCCTGAAATTGCAATGCTACTCCAACAACTGAGTGAATCATTTCATAGATATTTTAGCACGGGAAATATTAATGTTTAGAAATAGTTACTAGATGTTCTATTCGACCCGAATTTGTTGTACAGTAGCTATTTAATAAAAGTCAATCTTTCTCAAATACAAGCCAAGGCGCAAATGGAATTTGAAAAGAAGATTTCTTATATATACACTGAAAACCTAATCTACAGCTAATAAGGGCCCCACTTTTACTAACATATCCATTAGAAACTGATATATTATTTTATATGTATAAATTCGTATAATTATTTAGTTTTCAATAAAAAATATCTCGCCATAAATATGATTTTTTAAATAAAAACTAGAAATGAATTTTTCAAGGGATGCTAGAACTTATTTTCAGGTTCATTCCGACGCCGATCACTAAAAAGGATTACGAATCGCAATTAGGGTGTTATACTGTTTATCTTGACAGTTACTAGAGTTCATACATTAAAATACTTACACTAATATATTGAATGCATTTACAAGATAAGTACTTTGCAAATCTCTATATGTAATGAAATAATTAAGCGAATGGTATCGAACTATTTTTCAGAGTGTACACATAAATCTGTACATTGTTCTTCCAATCTGCTTAAAATTAAAAGAACGACATTATTGCATTTCTTGATTCTTTTAATTGTGTAAGAATTGTTACAAGTATCATTGGCTCATATGTGATTGTTACCGCACGTAGGGTTTCGTGGATGGATCTTGGTCGTTTCTGGTTAATCGAGCACTTGGTAGTCGAGATTGCTGACCTCCAGGTATTCAAACATTACTGTCTTTAAATCCAAAGCGATTAGGCTAGCTCATGTATGTACCGTACCCTGTGGAGGAACTGAGTCAATTCTGGTATTCACCTATTAAGCAAAACCCGCACATATGAAGCCCATAACTTTCGAATTTTCAGTTCTTTAATGCCAAAAATATTCACAATTTTTACAAAGTTGCATAAAGAAATAGTGCTTGAAATCATATAAATATCAAATTATGAATTACGAAAGCTTATTAGGTCTCTGCATTTTTACAATATTTTTTTAACTTTTACCAGAATCACTTCACTTGCTTACCTGCTAAGTTCCCTGCACTTCTCTTCATACATGGTCCTTAACTGCAAGAGTTCGCCGCGCATTAGAGCAATACTTGTTTGTGTATCTAAAAGGGACATTCGAAGTTGACGATTCTCGTGGACAGCTTCGTCCAGTTTTGATCGCACTTCATCAAGTCTGACATCTCGTTGTTCTGTTGGTTGATTTCTTAGCCATGAATAAACCTGCAATAAAGACGTTTCTTTGCCATATGAATAGAGAATGATCTCTTAAATCTTAGTAAGAGTTTTCAAAAATTTCAAAAACAATGTCCTTCCTTGAAATATAAAGAGTATGCCGGAAACTAAAACAGTGTTGAAACTCACAGTAAGAAGTTCTTTTTTTATTACTAAATATCTTAATAACATGAAATGCAAATAGAAAAAACCTGAAGAGATTTACTCGTAGCCAGGACAAAAGTGAAAATATTCTTTGCCATTTTTTCTCTTCTGACCCTAGAATTGTTGTATTTGTATTAATTAAAACGAAAATTAAAATATGCTTACCCTCTTTCTTATTAATAAAATGCCTATTTCTCATAAGCAGAATTAAAAGTGAGAACTGATAACAGGTTACTTTTTGTTTTAAATTTAAAAACGTACAGTACTCAGTTTTCACTACAATTATTATTGTAGTTTACAAAGATAAGGATAATATTCTTCGTTAAATATCTTAAGAACCTCTCGTACATTTTCAAGAATTTCGAAATTCGAATAATTATAAGTTATGATGAGGACCAGAAATGAAAGAAATTATTTTGAAAAGAATTATATAGAAACAGTATTTAGAAATCGAGTAGATTATGATTATGCGCGAAACTTTTCTAACTTTAATTCATAACTAAGTATTTTGAAGTAAGTTCTGTTTAAAATGGTTAAACTTTTTGTGTTTTATGCTTTAATTATTAATAAATTAAAAATATTAAAAAAGTAATAAAATGTTTTTAACATTGATCATAAATTTACATTATTTTTCATGTCTACGTATTTGCATACATGTGAAATATGAACGCATTAGTGTGTGCTCTGAAGCAAACACACAATATTTCAAAATTGTTGATGAATAACTCGAAACAATATTCCTATTTCTGTTCAAAGTACCAAGTTAGTGACTGAAATAATTGAGTAAAAATCTTAAATGATGAGATTTCTAAGACGAAAGATAATGATAAGATGAATCTGCATAATAAAATCTTAAAAATAGGTTATTTTGGGAGTTTTTGAAAAATCTTTGAAATTTCTCTGAAACTTTTACTCCCAGATTCATCGCCAGCTGCACAATCTAAACTATTCTTAAATATAATAAAAAATGTAGTGAAACCTCAACTATCCATCAGTCTTTGATTGTCTTTGTCAATCATGCTTCAGTTATGTCAGGTTATGTATTACTTTTAATATGTCAAGCTATCTTGTTTGAAATTTTTTTTACCTGACGTGACGTTTCCGAATATCATTATTAACCATGCGAAGGAAGTTTCGCTTTAAATCTGGCATTTTGAATACAGTTTCATTTTGTTTGCTATTACCTTACTTTTAACATAAAATAATGTTTTTGTGATTTGAAAACAATTTGACTTTAACAGTAACCTACCATACGAATGTAAGTTTCATAAATAGCCCACCATACGAATAACATAGCATAAACAGAACACATTTTAAAGCAGCTGATTTGTTACCTTTCTACTAGATTATGTTAAACGTGGTTATTACTTCTTAGAGGAATTTAAAGACTTTATGAAATTTAAGAAAAACCTATTGCAGTTACAGTGCTTATTTTTATTATCAGATTCTCTTTCATACATAAAGAACCCATATTAGTGACTCATGTACACTATGTGACTCTGAAAATGCAGCACCATGAAAGCCTACGCAGGAAGAGATCAAAATCGGCAGAAGAAGAGACACCGCAATGAGCAATAAGTGATGGTTATTACATTATACACTTATAAAAATAGCGACTATTCAGTATGTTCCGTAAGTTATAAAAACACTGTTGGTGGCAATACATGCAAAAACACGTCTAGGTACAGGCGCAAAAGAGCGTGAGAATTGTCTTCTGAGGGATAGATGTCCATTACCTATTACTCATTTGTCACAGCATTACACTGGTGTGCAAAAATTAAGTACGAGACGGTTTTTTCAATATAACTTTGTACAAAAGCTTTCCAAATCAACACATTTAATACCGTAAGATCTCCAATACGTAAGGACATGAGTAATGTAAGCAACACTTACTAAAAGAGAAATCAGAGGGATAAAAAGAAGCTTTATTGAAAAAGTAGCATGGAGCGCAATGCGACTGAAGGCCGAAACATCCCTGTTATGGGTGTCCAGCAAGAAACATCCGGTCTTTAATAGGGGATATGATCTCCCCTGACTGCTAGGCAGGTTTCACAGTGTCTGCCCATGCTGAGAATGAGGGTGACATTGAGTTGTTGAGGCATTGCTGCCCATTCGTCTTGCAGCGCCAATCAAAGCTCCGGAATCGTTACTGGTGGTAAGGTACGAGCTGCCAAGCGTCTTCCTAGAAAATCCCATACATGCTCCATGAGATTGAGATCAGGAGATCGTGCCGGCCAATCCATACGTTCAATATCCTCACTCTCTAAGAGCTGTTCGGCAGCTACAGTTCGATGACATGGTGCATTGTCGTCCATAAAAAGGAACTGCGGACCCATAGCGCCTCTAAAAAGACGCACATATGGAAGAAGAATCTCGTTACAATAACAGGTCCCGTTGACTGAACCTGCGTCGAAGATGTGAAGGTCTGTACGACTACCAAGCATGATGCCTCCCCAAACAAGAACACCGCCACCTCCATACCTGTCCCTTTCAATGATGTTCGAGGGATGATTGCGGCTTCCCCGCTCTCTCCAGATGAGTATGCAATGAGAATCGCTACTCAGACTGAATCTGCTCTCATCTGTAAAGAGTACTCGTCCCCATTCATTGTCTCTCCAATTCCGGTGTTCCCGGCACCACAGAGAACGCCTTCTCCGATGGGCAGGCGTTAGAGGTACACACCGTACAGGGCGTCGTGCAAACAGACCACCACCGTGCAGTCTTCTGGCCACTGTAAAACGAGATATTGGTCGTCCAGTCGCCTGTGTCGTGTATCTAGATTTCTCCCGCTGTCTGCCGCCTGTTTCTTCTAGCCTGTAAGGCAATATACCGGTCATCTGCGGGTGTGGTTCCTCGTGGACGACAACTACTAAACCCCCGGATAGCTGTTCCTGTAGTTTGAAATTGTCTCCAAAGTCGTGAAACGATGCTGTAAGCAATTCCGAACTCTGAAGCCACACTTGCAACACTGCGGCCTTCCTCCAACTTCCCAATGATTCGACCTCGGGTAAAAGCATCCAGATGTCGTCTAACAGATTGATTATTCACCATTTCTCGCTGAGGCAGCAACTCGGTGTGATTTTAACTGCTATACGGCGTGCAATCTCTTTGCCAGAAATACTGATCTTACACCGACAACATGCTTTATACTACTCAGACACTCCCCCATTACGTCTACCTGCATATCTGCGCTTGTGCTACCGTACATCACCTTACTTAATCTCCTGATTGGTCTTTCTGTCCGCTCTGCCTCTTCGTTCAGCTGATATGCTAATTTTTTCGACTTCGTCCTTAATTTTTGCACACCAGTGTAATTTGGAATATCCGATCCTCCCCTCATAATCATTTTCCACAGTTCGTCTTCTGACGCAAGCCAATCCAATCGCGTCCCAGACATTTTCTGTGGATGAGAGATCCGAGTTCAATGTATGAGAGACAGGTGACCAGAAATGCGCATGGGTACCTTGCAAAACATGTTGGCAGATGAACAGTGTGTGCGGTTTGACATTATTCTGTTGGTAAATGGCATTCGGCTTCCCTGAAGGAAGGGTAGTGTTGCCGGATAGAGCATTTCATCCACGTATCTTTGAGCTGTCATACTTCCAACGAAACGGACTAGTGATAATCTGCTGTAGTAGGCCATGTTGTCCCAAAGCATGACGCTGCGTTTACGCCCAGTGCGGCCTTTCACAGTTGCGGCCGGATTAGAATTTTCACGACTATGCCAACAGACTCTTTAAATAAAAACATGACTCTTTGGAAAACACCACATTATGCCACTCCGAAGTCCACGTGGCTCTGTCTTGACTAATCGCAAACAGAGGCGCCTGTGCTTTTGGCTCAATGGTCTTATAAACGAACTCCATGCGTATAGGCCACGGGTTTCCGGTCGACTAATAATGGCCCTGCTCGAAGTGGGAGAATTAAGTCTATCCTTCCCCTGCCGTAAAATATCGACGGAAGTGGACTGCGAAGTTACCACCGCATACCTGAGGTTGTATCGGTCCACACGTGCTGAAGTTACTGTGGCAGCACCACCATCCCTGTAACGTGTCACATTCCGTTCTTCCAACAAAATTCGCCACAGTGGGTGCACTGTGGACGCATATAGGTGTTTGTTCGCTGCGACTGAACGGGGGTGTTGACCAATTTGCCCTTCTCAGTCCTGTCACAGTACCTCTGGTGTACTCGTCTATCTGCTAAAAGCGTCTCGGTTGTTGGCGTTCTGATATTATCCGTACTAACGCTTCCTATGTAATAAAAAAAATTCGCAAAGCGATTACTCTTCCCGATGGAGCAGCGGAACTATTGTCTTATTGTCGATTCTGCAGATGCCTTCATTTATTTTGTGCTTCCCCTGTACGAGAGTTCAACGCATTTCGCATCATTTGAACTGTGTCTACCCTGCAATTTATATATTCTTCGGAGTATGCATTTATAGTGTTGCGTTTTCATTAACACGTAGTGGATTTGTGGATAAGTAGTGTTTCTGAAAAAAAAGAAAGCTTCTTAAACATTTACCATTTTAAGTAAGCTCACATTAGTTCAGCTTTACAATAAACTAAATCAGGGATTTTTAACTTTTCAGTACGCATGAAAGTGAACTGAGTGTTGAAAATTTCAAAATATAACGTGACTTTTCAGATTTTAGCACTTAAAATTATTAAGTGGCATTTACAATACAGGACCCACTACTGCAAATGCTTCTTCGCATATATCAGGATTCACTGTTTGAAAATGATTATTCTAAATTATTAGTAACTTGACCTACAGTGAAAAGCTGGTGATTGGATTTGTTCACGCAGTTATCCAAAAAATATTTCATGAATTTATACTAAAAACGGTGTATTGAATTACATGATCGATTTATAACGAGCTATTTATCTTATAAGCTGTTACTATTTTCTAACAAGCCTTTAGTTTTTCTCTCCTACCCATTCCAGTTGTCGCAACAGAATTGCTTAAATGAGTCATTATTTATAAAAGTTATATGAGTCGAGGTTATGTTGCATTTTAGTTGATTTGCCTACATAGGAACATTCACTAGCGCTCCGCCACGAAAATACATGCACCACTAGCGCTCCAGCACGAAAATACATAATTTTTTACCATATTATAGAATAGTATATATATAAGGCTCTATTTTGCAACTGAATTTCCTAGACTAAAATTCCTTTCTTGACCGTTATGAAGATTTGAGGCATTCTACTTAATATTGCAATTATTAATGCTACCATATCCAGAATAAATGTACAAGATATTTTCATTTGCTACCTATATTTTCAGTTTAGTTTAACATGATTTTATGTTAAATAATATTAACTGATTTTTCTGTTTTCCAGTTACCTTTTCCATGACGACCAAATGCGCCTGCACTTTGTCCAGTTCAGTATCCATCTTGGTTTGAAGAGATTTTCTTTCTCCTTCTACTTCTTCTTGAGCCTATTGAATCATTTTACAGTCAGTGCCATTTACAATAAAATATCATGAACGTGTATATTTAAATACTAGTTATTTTAATACATTCACCTGTAGCCTTAATCTCATTTCTGCTTCTTTGACTTGCTGATCTAATTCTTCTTCCATTCTTTTCATGTGCCTTTCGTGTTCTAGCTTCTCCCTAAAAACATGCATAAATAAAATCATCGTTTCTTTATATCATGAACATACTTTCTTTTACTTATTACGGATTTGAAACAAATATTATTTGCTTATAGAGTCAACTCGTTGAAAACTTTTGTTTGGAATGGAACCAGACGGAAACTTTAAATACTTAAATTCAAAAATACATTTCTTATTGCTTTGAAAAAATAATTGTGTGTAGCTAGCAAATCGCTAATTGGGTGCAAATGGCAATTTAATAACACTGAATCATTTTCTGTTTTAGAAAGATTTAAATTCTTTCTACCAGATCAGAAAATTTTAAGCAAAAACTGAAAAATGAAACCATTCCATGGCAGTTTAAATTTAAAGCATTCACATACAAATCAGAAAAATCTAATTTGATTCCAATCCCTTATTCTTAACAAAAGACAAGTTTTCGACGTTTGAAACTTATTTGGAATGGCATATATAATGCGTATTACGCAATTACTTCTAAATCAGATTAGTTGAAATCCATTAGCATTATTACATTTAATTACTCTGTACTATATTTAATTAATTTGTTAAATCTGAAAAACACGCAGTTTAGCGAACTTTGAAATATCTATTAGTGAATCTTAAGATTAATGATATTTTCATATAACCTTTTGCTTTCGTTTTAAATTTACAGAAAGAAAATTTTTATACGACGTAATAAGGCTTAGTTTTTTATTTTTGATATTCATAAAAGAACAGAAGTCAGTGTTTAAAAAAATATTACAGCAACTATGATTGTTTGTAAACGCATATTATACATATACTATTTGCAGTTTCAGATCATTAATTTTCATTGTGGGGAAATTCTATAATGTTAAATGTAATTTCCCTATAATCCTCCTAGTTTTTGATTTTGATCACATTTTAGATGCCTGTATCAATTCATCACAGCTTACTTTTTTAATATTTATCAAGATTTTATAGTGGGTTTTCGGTATTCGTCTTTAATCATTTGGAAATATGAAATACTAGTTAGCATTATAACCAAGAAAAAAAAACACGATATTAGTGGAAAGGAAATCGCCCAGTTTTAAATCTCTAAACTTTCTACAATACAACTAGCTAAATTCAATTTCGCGCATCTATGATACAAAAAGTGCCAATTTCTGTTAGAAATCCCGGCTAAAGCATACTCATAGCTTTACATTTTATTGCCTTTGAGTGTTTTTCCTCAACTGCGAAATAACCTTAAGTTATAGATTCCAATAAACATAAACTGAAACGAACTGTTTTATGTATCTGTAATGAACTGCACGGAACTATTTTATGAATCTGAAATTATTGACATAATTATATAAAATAGATATTTCTTAAATAAATACAGGAAATGCAATTTATGCATAAATAGCTTGATGAATAGCATTATTCAATACTGTAGGCAAATTTCGTTTAGCATTAAACTTTGACAAAATGAATTATATAACAAAAGTGGCAAGAGACTATGCTGCTTTCTTTAAAAGTTTCTAAGACCAAAGAGAATAAATTCTTAATAGAAAGTATTTTACATTTTTTGCTTTAAAATTAACTTCAGCATAACACTAAATATTATTACATATTACGAAAATTTTGGTGTGCTATATATTGCGTCTCAAAGTTTCACAAATGAATTTGTAAAACTCGAGATTAAAATAAAATAACTTTATCCTTATTTGGCTTTGTATTTGTATTTCCTCTGATTCTCTGTGTCTATCTATAGACACAGAGAATCTAGATACCTTCGTAGGAGTCAGTTATTGAATTCTTTTTCATATCCTTTTAACGTTTCTCAAAATTTCTGAAATCCTTTCAAAATAGTAGCTTTAAAGATGAGATTTCAGTTTAACAGGTTTCAAATCAAAAAATGATTAATAATAATTGCATTTTCCTCTAAATCATTTGATAGTTACATTCTCTGAGAACGCATTATATTGTAACAGAAAACGAGTTCCTACTGAAACTTTTCTGATACAAAGTGCTGAAATTACTCGTATGAATGATTTGATATTTGCCATTTACACTCAAATTCTTTGCAGTGGTACAGTATCACAGACACTACACTCGTTTCTGACCCAGTGTTTCTGATGCTAACCGGTACAGATTTGTCCCTGTCCGACACATGATTACTGTTTCGTTTTATGTGGTTTAACTAATCGTCATCAATTACGATCGGGAAATCATGATTACTGACCGCAATTTCAGTCAGCCTTTGCTGCACCTTTTTCAAGAACTATCTCCTTGCCTCCTAAGGAGATATTATTTAGAAAAAACATCTTTAGATGTGCTATAAGGTATTTCTCCCGCCTTCTTAGCATGCCTTCGTAGTGTAGTGGTCTGCGCGCTGGGCGCGTATTCTAGAAGTCCGTGGTTCGATTCCCAGCAAAGGCGTTACTCATTTTTTATTACTCCTCTTACTTCGAAATAACCTAATACAGTGCCTACAGTGGCACCCGAACTACCGAACTAAAAGGGTGGTGGATGATGATTCCCACACAAAGGATTTGGGAGATTGGCTACCCTAAAAACAACAGTCACTCTCTAAAAGGGGGAGTATATAAGGTATTTCTCCTGCCTTCTTAACATGTATTCGTAGTGTAGTGGTCTGCATGCTGGGCGCGTATTCCAGAGGTCTCTGGCTCAATTCTTGGCGAAGGCTTTGCTCATTTTTCATGACTCTTGCCTAAACAAATACCTAATATCTTTACAGTGGCACCTGAACTAAAAGGTGGTGAATGATGATTTTTCACCACCAGGATTTGGCGTTTGGGTCTCCTAAAAAAACTCCAGTCGCCCTTTAAAAGGGGGGTACACAAGGTACTTCTCCCGTCTTCGTACCATGCCTTCGTAGTGTAGTGACCAGCACGCTCGACGCGTATTCGAGAGGTCCGTGGTTCGAGTGCCGGCGAAGGTGTTGCTCATTTTTCCTCTCTCCTTTAAAAAATAACCTTATGTCTCTACAATGCTAGTTCCAGTTGCCGATAGTTACCATTTGGGAGCCTGACTAAGATATATTGAAAATCACTCAGTCCAAAAGATCTGTAGATCTACTGTATATAACAATAAATTAAAAATTAGATGATAAAATTAAATGTAATATTTCTGCCCACACGGTTAAATTGCTTTCGTTTATTTTTTTAACACTGATAAAAAATCTTTGCAGGGACTGATATTTAAAATTTACTAGTGAAATACTCCAAGACTAAAAGAAACATAAAGCTTAATGCAATAGATTCTAGCAATTTAAAATAGGAACTAATAATAAGCATCTTCAAAACAGTATACTAAACGTATTAAAACTGAAAGGAAAATGGAAAGTATTATGTATTAGTATGAAGTTACACAGTATTATATAACTATATAAATATTTCCTCTTGCTTTTTGCTTCCATTCACCTTCGCCATGATTCTTCAAGCCGAGTTTTTTCCTCTTGCAGTTGATGTAAATTTCCTAATAATTCTTCGATGGCACTTTCAAGATATGGCACAAGATGACGCTGCTCGGAAGCTTGAAGTTCATTCAACAGCCATTTCAATTTACCTTCATCGCTAAAAATTAAGATTTAATTGGTTACAATTTTAAAATAACACAGGCCTTAAAATGCAAAAATCATAAATGCAACTGATTAAAACTTATACCTTCTAAGTATAAAAATCTACACTAATGCCGTATATTTTATCATCCTCTGAAAATTGGGTAAATATCTTGAACACAGGGTAAGAGAACACAAGGTGTATCTTCAAGTAAAAAATAGGAATGGAAACAAACTGTATGAAAACAGCGGTCTAATACTTAAACTCACTGTCTTTTCTTTCATGTACTATTTGACAGTTATTAGACTCTCGAAAAGAAAACGTTCTGAACTGATGGTGTTATAATTTCTTTGTGAATATAATATCACTCTCTATACGCATATGAAAAAAATATAAATTCCCTTTCCAATAGGTATGCTATGATATTATTGCTGCTGTTAAAATTTAATTATATAGAAATATTTATGTATGATAAACATATTACCCTTGCTGCATAAATAAATAGTCAACTAGCTGCAGAAAAAAAAAGCTACAGAATACATATACATTTATTGATCATTTAATCTCAAACAAATGTTTAGCAATATGTACATATATTATCACACTATAACACATTTACACACATTTTAAGAGTCCAAAGCGATTCTTTAAGTGGCACTAATCTTAATTCTTTTCATTTATAGACGAAAATTACCTTTTATAATGTCAAATGACATCTGGCAATAAGTGAAACATTGTTACTTTGTGTTAAATTACATTACATAATTCTCACATTACACAACCTCCACATTGCATAGTGTTACTCATAAAATTAATTTGGGGATTATATTGATTATGATAAAATCCGAAGGAAAACTGGTGCAGTGTACTAAATATATTTGTCTCGCACTGATATGGCATTTCATTCTCGTGGCTCTTAGATATGCTGCATTGATAATCATTTGTGCTATGTTATCTACATTAATATTTTTTATCTACATCTTACTCGGATATTGACTTACATACATATTAAATTTATTTAATGAAGGTATTTTCCTTAAAAAAGGGCACATGGATAAAATTTATCATCAGCAAGGGAACAATTTTACTTAAAAAAGGCGTAGAGACGTTAGGATTTTTGGAGGCCGGAAAGATGAAAAATATGCAACTCCTTCTCCGGGAATCAAACCGCGGACCTCTCAATTACGCACTGAGCGTGCAGACCACTACACCACGAAGGCTAGCTAAAGAAGGCGGTAGAAATACCTTATATATTCGGCCTTTAAAAAAGCGACTGGTCCTTTTTTAGGAGACTCAATCGCCAGATCCTGGGTGTGGAGAGTGAGTGAGTGAGGGAGTGCTTCCGACCACGGAAACATGAACCAAAAGGAATTATGACCATCACATTGGGAAAGACTCCAAAGTAAAAAGGTTGGATATTACATACTAATAACAGTTTTTACATATTGATAACTGCAGGCGCTAAGCGTTATTCTGGTTATCTGCTTTAAGTTCTGAACATTTGAAACATAATATTAATCATCATCCACCACTCTTTTAGTTCAGGCACCACAGTAGAGACATTAGGTTAATTGGAAGCAGGAGACCTGAAAAATGAGCAAGGCCTTCGCCGGTAATCGAACCAAAAACCTCTAGAATACTCGCCTACGCTACGAAGGCTCGCTAAGAAGATGGGAGGAATACCTTATAAAGGAAAGAATGAAAATACATCTGGCGTTTGCAAAATTCATTTAAGCAAAAATTTATCATATTGAAATAATATTACATTTGTCAAAAATTTCAACATTTAGGTCCAATGGTAGAATTACTGCGAGCGAAAGCTGAATGATGAACTGAATACGAAAACCCTGTTGCCTACAGTTAAGTATGCGGTGGAGGTATACAATGATTTGGGAATATTTTGCTACCTCTGATGTGGATAATTTAGCTTTTACAGAAAATTATATGGCTGAGCATAAATATATAAGTATTCTCAATGAAAACATAACAGAATCCGCAAGAAAGCTTGGAATTCAAAATATAATCAAGTTCTATCAGCACAACAAACCTAAACATACAGTCTTAAACGTTCGCTTTCAATTATTAGACAACTGTCCTGAACTTATCAAAACTCCTTCATATTCTTCCGACTTAAATCCTGTCAAATATGTATTAAATGTGTTGGAGAAAAGAATAAGGAAACAAGGAATTTCTTCAAAAGCTCTTCTAAAGGCATTTCTTACGAAGGAATGGAACAAAATGGCATATTCTTGCTCGAAACATTAGATGAGTCCATGCCAAAACGAAATATTAAATTTTCCTGTTTTTTCATGTTTCCGTTAAATATTAACTCTTCGTTCAAAGTGTCCGAATACTTATATGAGTTATTTTTTAGAACGTTTTGAATAAATTATTTTTAATTAAAGTGGTTTTAATAAAATTTTTCAAAACAAGCAGACTTTGAAAAAAGATGATCCGTCGTACATAAACGTAACATACATCAAATAACAAAGCTAGTTGTAAACGATATTGCAGCTTTTAATTAAGAAATGTTATGGAAATAAAAAGCATAACATTATAGATATATTCTAAAATTATTTTACTTTAGAACGCATTACTGGGAAAATATTATATCAAAAAAAGTTAGATGATCTATTCTCTCTCTCTCTTTATACTTCTAGCCATTTTTATTGTGCATCATTTTATAAATTTAAAATGGGATATTAGTAGGAGTAGTATTTATGTAAATTATGGTCTTACTTAATTTATGGTTTTATTAATTTATGGTCTTACTCATGTAATAAATAGAACTAAATATGAATAAAACTTTGATATGATAACTACAGTTCAATTTCAGACGTACGCTATATAACAACTGACTGACTGTTTGGGGTTTTAAACGATTTTTATTATTTCTGCAGAAATGCTTGAAAAATTGTTCTGAAACCGAGATTATACTTGAATTCACACTTTCCTGAAAAATTATAGTCAAAGAATGCATTTAGACCACCAACAAAAAAGTGATTAAAAAAACCTATTTTTGATAACCCTGTGTCGTAAAAACTAGAAATTTATTTGCAGCTTTTAAAAATATTTAAGATGTCGTGTGGAATCTTCATGCGCATTTTGGTAAAGCATCCCACGTATATTAACGAAGTTATAAATAATTCTTTTTGAAAAATAAAATTTGTCGCTTTCGTGTGACTCATAGAGTTTTCAATCAAACATTTAATGAAATTTACAGAAAATATATGACAATGTTCAAGATATAAACATTTCGTCAAACAAAAATTTGAAATGAAAACAATTCGATTGTATATGAACATTTAAGTAAAATGATTTTTAACTGATCATGCGAGAAATATTTTTCCCCATATGCTAAACAAAGAACACCACATTCCTCAACAGAAAATGAAGAGTATGACACTGATAGCCGCTACGAGATGATATTGATCGTTCAAAGTCTATTGAACTGCAACAATCGCATCATCCTTGGGAAGAACTATAATCGCGAAAAATGCCGGGTCATATTTCAACGAAAATATCCATTTCAAGCCCTCTGAAAACCATTTGAACGATGTTTTCGCGTGCCATCTGTACATACGGACAGAGTGAAGGCTTCGTTTTCCCAAAACAGATTCTAAAATGGATTCAGAAGAGATTTTTTTCTTGACGTTTGTACGTACGTAAGTGTGTATATATTTGGAATAACTCAGAAATGTGCAACCTCAGAACCTTGAAATTCTGCATATGAGACTGCTATAACATGCAGTTGTAGACCTCCCTTTTTGGTTTCAATCGACTGTGCCGAAAACATGCATACATTCTCACTCTATTAACCGGCTCGGTGAGCTCAGTTGTTTTATTCTTATATATTGTTAAATTGTGCATTCTTTGCTGTAAAAGTAATTGAATTATGTTGTTCTCATGTCCCGGTTAAGGCTTTAAGAAAGAAGGGAAGGATCCAAACAGCCCATCCTCTTTTAGGCCGATTTGTCTTCTCCCGGTAATAGGTAAACTCTATGAGAAGCTCATAGTCCAGCGGCTTAAATTTCATATGACGCAGAGTGGGGCAATCTCTGACGCACAATATGGATTCAGAGAGCTACGCTCAACGATTGCTGCCCTATCAAAGATAAGAGACTATATCAGCCACTTGCATGAAAGGAAACAGCATGCAGCGGTCCTAAGTCTGGACCTGCAAAGCGCATTTGACTCTCTGTGGTGGCCCTCAATTTTAGAGGCACTGCACCAGGCAAGGATCCCTGATAACCTCTTGCAGGTTTTCAAGCAATACCTGTCCAATAGAAAGTTCATAGTAACACACACTGGCGGTGTCATAACCAGAAGCCAGACAAAAGGCTGTCCACAGGGATCGTGCGCGGGTCCAGACTTGTGGAACGCAACTTTCGATTCCATCCTACGATACGAATGGCCGTCCCATACCCAGATAGTAGCCTTTGCGGATGACGCGACCTTTGTGGTGGGCGGCAAGAGTAGAGATGAACTGCAGCAAAACTGCAATGATGTAATTGATACCTTCTCTCGGCTATGTCAGGAGAAAAAGCTAATAATTTCTGAGGCAAAATCGAAATATATAATTTATCATAAGCCAGGCCAAACTTTAATAAGAAACCCAACCATCCAGCTTAATGGGAAGACCATCAAAAGGGTCAGAGAACTAAAACTCCTGGGTATTATATTGGATGAAAAGTTCACCTGGCTGCCTCACCTTAAAGCCCAAAGAGAAAAGGCTCGCCGAATCGCAAACAATCTGCAAAAAATGCAAGGCCCGCACTGGGGCCTTCGGCCCAATATCTACAAGATACTTTACTCCACTGTCGCGGAGAGGGTCCTAACCTACGGAGCAGCCATCTGGGCAGCCCCGATGACAGTCAGAAAGGCAAAATTGCTAAGTAGTGCACAGCGACCATTTGTCCTGGCCATAACGAAGACCTACAGGACAACGTCGACTGCGGGCCGCTTCGGTATTAGCAGGGCTTATGCCGCTCCCAATCAAAGCGCAGCAAGAAGCC